GGAAAACATCTAATTAAAGCATTAAATAGCTACGTGATCCCAATATTAACCTACTCGTTTGGAGTGATTAAATGGTCTAAAACTGACATCCAGCAAATAGAAAGAACCACACGCACCACACTTACAAAACACAATAATTTACACCCTAAATCCGCAATAGAAAGACTCACAATAAAACGACAAAATGGAGGGAGAGGCCTAATAGACATTCATCACCTTTGGCAGAAACAAATTAATAGCCTCAAAACATTCTTTCACAATAAATCTCACACTAGTGATATCCATAAAGCCGTAGCCCTAAATGATTTTAACTACACTCCACTTAACCTAAATGAACAAACAGATACACAACACAATAACACTAATGACCCACAAAAACAAAAGTTAGAGGACTGGAAAAAGAAAGTCCTACACGGACGACACCCACATGACCTGGAACAACCACATGTAGATTCAGTAGCATCAAATAAATGGCTTAAAATTGGCAACCTATTCCCGGAAACTGAAGGGTTTATCATCGCTATACAAGACCAGATCATCAACACTAAAAACTACAGGAAATATGTCATTAAAGACCCCACAGTAACCAACGACAAATGCCGTAAGTGCTTCACCCAACCAGAGACAATACAACACATAACAGGGGCATGTACAACTCTCACACAGACAGACTACACTCACAAACACAACCAAGTAGCAAACATCATTCATCAAAAACTAGCACTCAAACATAAACTTATACAAGACACAAACACACCCTACTACAAATATACGCCACACACAGTTTTAGAAAATCCTACACACAAACTCTACTACGACCGCGCAATACTTACCTATAGGACCATTCACTATAATAGACCAGACATAACACTACACGATAAAGTAAGTAAAATAACCTACCTAATAGATATTGCAATACCCAACACACATAACTTACAAAAACAATAGGCGAGAAGATAAGCAAATATGCAGAGCTTAAAGAAGAAGTGACCAGAATTTGGAGACAAAATAAAGTTTATATAGTACCCATAGTCGTCTCCACCACGGGCGTTATACCCAACCATCTCCACCATAGCCTCAAATTAATAGACCTGAAAGACTCAACATATATTATACTCCAAAAAGCCGCAATTTTAAATACCTGTCGAATTGTAAGAAAATTCATGCAATTGGAAGAAAATGAAATAGTTACCCAGAACACATAACCTACATAAATACTCACTCCATGCTGCATTTACTTGGCTTCGGCCCGTATGTGCAGTAAAAACTAGCCAAAGAGCTAAGAAACAGAAATGTTTTCCCTATCACAATAATAATAATTAATATTAGTAGAAAAAGAGGAGAAGCGGACATGGTTGTTGGATATTGGTATTCCAAATTCGCACAATGTGCAGAAATACACCACTGAAAAGATGGTTAAATACCAGCGGCTGGCTGAAGAAATACGACAGTTAAGGCGGCAGCAGCAGGTCCATATTATCCCGCTGATTCTCTCCACCACGGGAATTGTTCCTAAATCCCTTACTGAGAACTTAGCGAAGCTAGGTATCTCAGTGAGGGTGAGGAACAAAATACAAAAAGCCGTAATCTTGGATACGACAGCGATCGTACGTCGCCACCTCTCAATTTAAGGAATAAAGGGCGGGATCTTGCGATCAGCCGATGCCGCATCTAAAACCCCGAAAAGGAGCGCTAATGAAAGTGATAATAATAATAATAATAATTTTTCTTATTACTACTTACTTTCTAATTGACATAGCTGTACCAAATACGCATAATATTCAAAAAACAATAGCCGAAAAGATTAGTAAATATAACGAACTGAGCGAAGAAATAAAAAGAATATGGAAATTAAATAAAGTTTTCATCGTCCCAATTGTACTCTCAGCTACAGGATTAATACCAAAATATTTGCATCACTGCCTTAAGTTATTAGATTTACCCTCAAATTTATATATTAAAATGCAAAAAGCAGTTATTTTAAATACATGTCGCTTAGTGCGAAAATTTTTACAAATCCCAGAAACTGCTCTGGATAATACATTAATAATACCAGCAAATGATGACTACTTGGCTTAAAGCCCGTATCATCATAATACCCTACATGGAGAAAAAAAAGAGAAAAGAAAAAAATAATAATAATAATAATAAAGCATCTTGCCCTACAAAACACAACCTCTTTGCATCTTGCTAAAAGCCGATCTAAGAGTTGTAAACCCAAAAGGAGAAAAAAAAGAAAAATAATAATAATAACGATCGTCGGTAATGAGGCTGTACTTGCCGCGGAAGCATGGTGGGCGCGGCTTTTTAAGCGCGCTTACCCTGCATTATCGCGAAGTGTGCAGCCTCCGTAATTATTTTCTGTCGAGAGCGGATGATCCATTCTATAGGGACGTTATTTTTTGTGATAAAGGACTTACCCTCTATCCTTAGCCAACGAGCAATGGCAAGACCCGGCAGTACAGAGCATTTTCGACCGGGAGACCGATCGAAAATGCTCTGTACTGCCTGTACGTACGTAACTGTATCTACGGAACGCTACATGAGCCTTTCGTAGATACAGTTGCCTCCCTCCACTGGCTACGTTTTGGTAACCTCTTCGGGGAAACCGAGGGTTTTGTCTGTGCAATACAGGATCAGGTTATTAAGACCAACAACTATCGGAGATACAACATCCTAAGGGATGGCACCGTCGCCATTTGTCCAGCTTGTCGCCATCCTGGTGAATCACTTAGGCATGTCATCTCCGGTTGTTTGGCGCTTTCTACTCGTAACTCTGAGTACTTGCATAGGCACAACCTAGTAGCCAGGATTCTACACCAGGAGCTCGCTCTGAAATACGGTCTCGTGGATCGGAAACTGCCTTATTATAAGTACATGCCGGAAGCCGTGCTCGAAAATGACCGCGCCAGGCTCTACTGGGACCGGGCCATCATCACAGACAGGACCATTCTTGCGAATAAGCCTGATATTGTGCTGATGGACCGGGCACAGTCAAGGATATTTTTGGTCGACATTACCATTCCGTATGACGAGAACCTCGTGAAAGCCGAAACAGATAAGCGAACAAAATATCTGGACCTGGCTCACGAGGTGACCGACATGTGGGGTGGACTGCCGGCCTAAATTATACCTGTAGTCGTTTCTGCGAACGGGTTAATCCCAGTCAGCCTCTCGGGTCATCTGAGGCGACTGGGACTCCGTGACGGACCGCTCCAAGCTCAAATGCAGAAGGCGGTGCTCCTCGATACCGCCCGCATCGTCCGCCGGTTTCTTTCCCTTTCCCCCTAACCCTCGGCCGTTTGGTCTCCCCTGCCGAGGGCTTCCATCTGGTTGGGTTTTTATTTATTTATGTATTTTTTATGCATTTATTTTATTTTGTTGATATTTATGTATGTTTGTCATTTTCATTTACAATTATATATTTATACAGCCCAACTAGATGAGTAAACTATATAGATGCCCCAAATAATAATAATATGGCGTAGGGAAGTGACGACCCCATCGCCCGCTGACGTAACGGTTATGTGACAAAACTGCTACGTCAGCGCAGTCAGTCAGCACCTTGCTAAGAGGTGTTAGCGCCGTGCCTCGGCAAAATTGGAGGTGCAAAGGCCCGATTGTGCACATGGCCTCACCATGAAACGGTGCCGGGTCTGGGCGTCTCCCGTTAACTGACGCCCAATTCATGGATGATGGATTTAAGAAATACGCGCAAAGGGCCGCTGCCTGGAGGTCGCCAGGGCGCGTCTGGAGCTGGTGCTGGACGCGGCAGCATGCGAATCGCCAGTCGACCGCGAGGTGCTGCACGATCACCCAGCAGCCCCTCGCATCCATCATCCCCACCAGCTGGCTTGGTGTTGGCAGGGTCTTCGTTGGCCCAGCAATCAGCATCCGCCACTGGTGGAGTACGCCGCATGCGTTGGTCAATGCAAATGAATAAAAATGCATTGCGGGCGTAATTTGGGGCGAAAGGGAGAGAAATTGGAGGTTTTGGGTATCGGGCTAGGATGCACCGACTATTTGCTGAGCTGGAGCCATCTATTACTGTTACTGAGCAAAACCTGGCAGACCGAGTTCGGTACATCATGCGCTCAAAAATATTTGATGACGCCGAATTCGAACGGCTACGACGTGAGGCTATTCCTTTGTCGAATGAAAATGCTACGACCGGAGATGCGGCTCTACGAGTTGCAGAGCAACACGCACATGTAGATGCCGCCGTAGATCTCCTTGTAGTTGACTCAGGCGACGATGGAATAGTCGCCACAGAACTAGAGCAAATGAGGAGCATAGTGGAAGAGGCGATTAGGGAAACGCGCAGTACGCCTATCGAGAATCGACCGCGACTTCCCCGTATACCCCTAAGCAAGCGGAATCGGGCTGTCGTGAGGGCTCTCAACCCAATGCTGGTGACCTATTTGGAAGCCAGCCGGGACCTTTGCGAGACGGACTCAACTCTTTTTGGCGCCGCACTGGCAGTTTGCCGTATTATTGGCGCCAAACTTCCCAAGGCTGGACGCGCTACTAGACAAAGTAGCGCCATCCCAGCCTGGAGAAGAAGGATTGAGGACCGTTTTGCAAAGGCAAGGGCCCTCATCGGCAGGCTGATAAGCTTCAGGTCGGGCAATAATAGGCCGAGAATTGTGCGCACCGTCAGGATGACGTTTGCTGGGACAAATATCAGTTTGTCCCAGCCGGATATAACGCAAAAACTGACGGAGCGCATAGACGACCTGAAGCAGAGAATCGCTGCTTGGGGGAAGCGGATTCGGCGATATACCGAGAGGTCGACACCGTTCAACCAGAATCGTCTCTTCCAGAGTGATTAGAAGAGGCTCTATGAATCATTGGAGCGACCAATGGTACGTGGAACGGGCCCAGCACCGAATCAGGCCGACACTATCGCATTCTGGCGTGGCCTGTGGTCAGAGCCCGTAAACCACAGTGAGGGCCCTTGGACGGAAGATGTGGCGAGTCAGTGTACGAATGTTACGCCCATGGACCCCGTCATCATTACGCCGGATGACGTAGCTGAGGCGGTCCGTAGGGCTCCGAACTGGAAAACTCCGGGACTCGACGGACTGCATCACTACTGGCTGAAGGGGTTCATGGTGTGTCACGCTGTTCTCGCCCGACAGTTTCAAGAGGCTCTCGACCAAAAGTCGCTCCCGAGCCTCTTCACTACTGGGATCACTCATTTGGTTCCTAAAGACCGAGATTCCACAGACCCGAGCAAATACCGCCCCATAACGTGTCTACCTACCATATACAAGACACTGACATCCATTTTGAGCGCGAGAATCACTCGTCACCTGAACTCAAATCAGATGATGTCGCGCGCTCAAAATGGATGTCGGGGCGACGGTCGTGGAACCAAGGAACCACTCCTCTTTTTTGCGGTCATTGGCAAGGTGGTTAAACGCAACCGTCGGAACCTCTCCGCCGCCTGGATAGACTACAAAAAGGCATTCGACTCGGTGCCTCATACATGGCTGAAGAGGGTCCTCGAGCTGTACAAGGTTGACTGTACAGTTCGAGACTTCCTTGGGCAGTGTATGGGGCAGTGGAGTACGATCCTTTGTCATGTAGGCGAGCGGATGACGGCTGCGGAGAACCAAATAAGGATAAGAAGAGGTATCTTCCAGGGCGATTGTCTGAGTCCAATCTGGTTCTGCCTCTCTCTGAACCCTCTTAGTACCTTACTGGAGGGTTCCGGGAGGGGATTTCAGCTTCGGAGAGGAGGTACAAAAGTGACCCACCTTTTCTATATGGATGATCTCAAGTTATTCGCCTCCAGTCGCTCTTATCTTATGGAATTGCTAAACATCACTTGTGATTTTAGCAATTCTATTAGAATGGAGCTGGGGACGGATAAGTGTGCGGTCCTCCATGTCGAAAGGGGTAGGGTTGCTAACTCTGAGGGCATAGACTTATCTATGCCCGTCAACATAAAGACCCTATCCGAGGCTGAAACATACCGATACCTGGGTATGTCACAGAACATAGGTATCGATGAGGCGGACATGAAACGGTCAGTTTGCGGTGTGTTTTATGCACGCTTGACAAAAGTGCTTAACAGTCTTTTGTCGGGCGTTAATAAGACACATGCATATAACGGTTGGATCATGCCTGTTCTCATGTATACCTTTGGCATGCTCAGGTGGACTCTGACCGAACTGAACGCTCTGGACAGAAAAGTCCGCACTATACATCACTTGTGATTGATACTATATGACGTCCCACAGGTTGCATCATCCGAGATCGTCAGTAATGAGGCTGTACTTGCGGCGGAAGCATGGTGGGCGCGGCTTTTTAAGCGCGCTTACCATGCATAATCGCGAAGTGTGCAGCCTCCGTAATTACTTTCTGACGAGAGCGGATGATCCATTCTATAGGGACGTTATTTCTTGTGATAAAGGACTTACCCCTTTATCCTTAGCCAACGAGCAATGGCAAGACCCGGCAGTACAGAGCATTTCCGACCGGGAGACCGTATGGAAGGAGAAGGAGCTCCATGGGAGGTTCTACAAGGCTCTACATGAGCCTTGCGTAGACACAGTCGCCTCCCTCCACTGGCTACGTTTCGGTGACCTCTTTGGGGAAACCGTGGGTTTTGTCTGTGTGATACAGGATCAGGTTATTAAGACCAACAACTATCGGAAATACATCCTAAAGGATGGCGCCGTCGACATCTGTCGAGCTTGTCGCCATCCCGGTGAGTCACTTAGGCATGTCATCTCCGGTTGTTCGGCGCTTTCTAACTCTGAGTATTTGCACAGACACAACCTAGTAGCCAGGATTCTACACCAGGAGCTCGCTCTGAAATACGGTCTCGTGGATCGGAAACTGCCATATTATAATTACTTGCCGGAAGCTGTGCTCGAAAATGACCGCGCCAGGCTCTACTGGGACCGGGCCATCATCACGGACAGGACTATTCTTGCGAATAAGCCTGATATTGTGCTGATGGACCGGGCACAGTCAAGGATATTTTTGGTCGACATTACCATTCCTTATGACGAGAACCTCGTAAAAGCCGAAACAGATAAGTTGACAAAATATCTGGACCTGGCTCACGAGGTGACCCACATGTGGGGTGGTCTGCCGGCCGAAATTATTCCTGTGGTCGTCTCTGCGAACGGGTTAATCCCAGTCAGCCTCTCGGGTCATCTGAGGCGACTGGGACTCCGTGACGGATCGCTCCAAGCTCACATGCAGAAGGCGGTGCTCCTCAATACCGCCCGCATCGTCCGCCGGTTTCTTTCCCTTTCTCCCTAACCCTCGGCCGTTTGGTCTCCCCTGCCGAGGGCTTCCATCTGGTTGGGTTTTTATATATTTATGTAATTTTTATGTATTTATTTTATTTTATTGATATTTATGTTAGTTTATAATTTTCATTTACAATTATATATTTAAACAGCCCAACCAGATGAGAAAACTATACAAATACCCCATAATAATAATAATAATAATTATGTTTACATTGATGGACTAAAATGATACATATAAATATCTAGGTTTACGTGAAGGAAGATGTATAGACCATACTGCTATTAAAAAGGACCTCAGTAATGAATATTTCCGCAGGTTGAATCTAATTTGTAAAAAGCAACTTAATTCTAGAAATTTATTCAAAGCTATTAACACTTTTGCCATCCCAATACTTACCTATTCTTTCGGAGTTATTAAATGGTCATCCACAGATATACGAAATCTGGAAATCAAAACTAGGACTAAATTACTAAACACAAATATTTGCATCCTAAATCAGCAATTGAACGACTTACGATAAAGAGAGCCATAGGGGGTAGGAGTCTGATCGATCTTAAAAGGCTATGGAAAGGGCAAATCAAAAACTTGCAAACTTTCTATTATGAAAAATCAGCTAACAGCCCGTTACATAAAGCAGTTATTGAATCCGATATCAATTATACCCCTCTTAATTTAAGTAAACAAGACAATAGATCTACTACAGTAATTGACCATGAAAAAGAAAAGCTATCAAAGTGGCGTAGTAAAGAATTACATGATAGACATGCACACGATTTAGAACAACCCCACGTCGACTTACTGGCTTCAAATAAATGGTTAAAACTAGGTTCTCCTTTTCCTGAAACTGAAGGTTTCTTATTGCTATTCAGGATCAAGTAATCAATACAAGAAACTATAAAAAATATATATTAAAAGACCCAAACATGCAGAACGATAGCTGTAGAAAATGTCACCGCCAACCCGAAACTATACAACATATCACCAGTGCTTGTTCTAGCCTAGCACAAACTGATTACACCCACCGGCATAACCAGGTTGCTAATTACGTTCATCAAAAGCTTGCAAATAAATACAATTTAATCCCGAACCAACTACTATTGCCATACTATCAATATATCCCTAAACCTGTTCTGGAGAGCGACAGTCACAGAATGTACTTTGATAGAGCTATTCTTACCGATAAAACGATTCATTACAATAGACCGGATATAACTTTAATTGAAAAATTAAATAAAATAGTATACCTAATTGATATAGCAATCCCAAATACCCATAATCTACAAAAAACCATTACTGAAAAAATTCTTAAATACACAGAACTAAAAGAAGAAGTAACTAGAATCTGGAAAATGAACAAAGTATACATTGTGCTGCTGGTGCTCTCCAGTACTGGTGTGATCCCGAAATGTTTGCCCCACTCCCTTAAACTATTAGATCTTCCTGAAAATAGTTATATTACCATGCAAAAAGCAGCCATCCTCAACACTTGTCGTATAGTCCGAAAATTTTTGCAAGAAGACACCTCAAATTTTGATTCCCAAAGGGACGCGCACTTGGCTTAGGCCCGTGAGCATTTCTTAAAAACTAAGATCTTAGAAAATCTTGAGAAAAAAAGGAGTAGAAAAGATAATAATTATAGTGATGCATTCTAATAACCACCTGTAAAATATTTAACGCTTTTGTCATTATAGTTATAAGAAAGTTAACGGATCTTTAGTTGGAGAAAACTTCACTGAAACTTTATTAAGAATGATTTGTGTTACAAGTAATAAAAGGAAAAAGTTATTAATTTTTGCTGAAACGCAATGTTATAATTACATTACCTGAATATACGTACAGTAAGGATAGCCCAACGGATTAGTAAGCTGAAGTGGCAATGGGCCGGCCATATAGCTCGAAGAACCGACAACCGGTGGGGAAGAAAGGTTCTCCAGTGGCAGCCTCGTACCGGCAGGCGAAGTGTAGGGCGTCCCCCCACTAGATGGAGTGACGACCTGGTAAGATATGCAGGAAGTCAATGGATGCAGGTGGCTCAGGACCGTGATTTGTGGCATTCTTTGGGGGAGGCCTATGTTCAGCAGTGGACTTGTGAAGGGCTGTAATGATGATGATGATGATGACGTACAGTAACAAAACTTTTACTGAAGTTGATAGTTCTACACTCTTTAATAATGAAAGTAAGAAATAAAATTCGTACGTACGCCTAATTAGTTGAAATAATATTTGTTATGATTAGCCACTTACTTGTGTTTCCTGTTTGAATATATCCTAATCCATAATCCATCCATAAGCAATAATACTTTAACATTCTAGCAACAAAAGTATAATGAAAATTTTATAGAACGCTATACAACGCGGGTCACCGGAAAACTTTCCTTATTTTTATTTTTAAAGTGAAACGTCTTTCATATTGTAGATTCGGAGCGCAACAGACAAACCACAAAAGCACGTAAAGTCGGTTTACGTGAAGTCGGTGAGAGTGAATAGCGAGTGCACCTGTGCTTGTGCATACACTTGGGCACTATTATCGTGTCTTGCGCCGATGGCTAGTCTCCATTGCGGCTCGCCGCTGTGACCGAAATTCAGTCTGGAGAACATTATTATTATTATTCGGATTCTCTTAATATTAACAATTACTTCAAAGCTACGCGGCAATTACATAGAAGTAACTTATGCATTTTAGAAATAAATTTACTTAAACAACAACGTTAATTCTCTCTATGATATATCCAAAATAATATTGAATAAGTGTAAATTTATGACACAAAAGACTCAGCACTGAGCACAAGCTTCAACAATAGAGTATTACAGTCACAGTGGTGGTGTTCGCAGGCACCGCTTTTGTAAACTGATTCATGTGAGTTGAAAGCGCTTGAATTTTATTTGCTTAAATATTTTATGTCTATAATTAAGAGTATAGTATAGGTAAAATCATTACTTTCTTAAATAAATATAAATAAACAAAAATTACTTATATAAATTTATCATGTAAGAACGTGATTGCAAAATACCGACACATAAAACAAAACAATTTTTGAAGTAAAAACTTCTTTAGCCGCGTTGAGCGATTTTGTAAGGGAAAAACTTATGGGTTCACACCACCGATGACCTCAACATGCGTCTATAGAGTATAGCGATCTGTGTACATGTATACGCATATATCATTGAGTTTTCGCTTCTGTCGACAGTCCTTATGACTGCCTCTGATTTTTATTTATTATACGATGCCAAAGTAGGGGACTGCTTTAAGCGTCAAAAGCAAAGCTGAGAAACTAATTACATTGTATGAAGTTTTATAACACCTATTAATTTATTTTATTTAAAGAGTGGTTATGTAATCGACCTATCGAATCCTATACGTAATGTAATAGGATATAGGATTTTTAAGAAATGAAACTGGGGGACAACATCACAAAATATTAAAAAATGCAATTTTCAAACCACCTGTCAAGCGTAGCAACTAGTTGTTTTGCAGATTTTCTAGCACTCTTAATAGGCTTTAGACAGAATTATTGAAATATTAACAAGTAAAACATTATATGTATAATAAATGCAGTTTGTTATAACATGGTTGCAGTACGCCTCTATCAAGAGTTTAAACTTTTAAGCTTTGTCCACTTTGATTAAGAAACGTAGTTATTTTTTTTTTTGTTATACCTGTAACATTTCACTGGTGTGCATGAGATACCAAGGCTAAATACCTTAATGTTCACGTCTGGTAGCCAATCAACAAGTCCACTTTTGAACAATAGGCTGTCACTGCGTCTAATTGTGTCATCACTCCATCTAGTGGGGGCGAGAAGAGAGCCTTTGTTTCAAATAAATTAATAAAATAATTTTATAATTTAAGTAGCAATAAAAAGTGTAAATACGTCTTTTCCAAACATACACAAATCCTTCTGAGGGCTTTTTTTTATATTTCCATGGTTCAGACCGCAAACGTAATTTA